AGGAAAAATTTGGTTTTTCATTCCCAAAACAAAGAGCTCTATGAGGGACTGCAGAAGGGAATAAAACCCCCGAATTTCCACTTGTTTTCAAAAGAACTAAAATCCCCCAGAGCGGAAAAACAAATGTGCCCGTTTTGCTGACATGCCTCTTGACGCAATTCACAGTAATCAAACGGCAACGTACCAACGAACAATTTTTGATTCAAAATATAGGACCCTCCCAGTTCAAAATGGATCTTAAAATGCTGGGGAAAAAAAACTAGGTTTAGGACGTACAACCCAGAAACCCTTTGTGGCCAAATTCAGCCCCCAAATGTCAATTTAAAATATTTCCTTAAATTGACACTGACCTGAACAAAAGGGCTCACCGATCAAGGGCTGCTTGGGTAAATTAAGGAACGAGGGGCGGAACCTCAGGGGGCCGAAGGGCAGCAACAAGCATAGAACCGCCCTCCACTCCAAAAAACTTCCAACACGAAAAAAAACCCAAAACAAATCACAAACGGAATGACCACGCTAGCTGGAGATTCGTCTGTAAAAACTTGCATTTGTGGTCACAGTGGTGCCTATGCTAACCTTCCTATGGTGTAGAAATATACCTAGTTGGACGAATCTTATTGTGGCTAGCTGGTCTAGTGGCTAAAGCGACGGTCTGAAGTTTTGAGACTCTCTGACCGCGGGTTCTATCCCCACCCGTAGTATGACTTGTAGGCTTCCAACATCATGTAGAGCACCCACCACTGAGTAGCAGCCTCGTTCAGAGGAAGCTACAGCATCACGGAAGCCAGAGCCACTTTCCCTACCACAGCGACGGACACTTCTACTCAAAATCCCACCCGACAAGAGCAGCTAGCAGGCCAGACAGATAAGATAAGATAAGATTTCGTTTGGATTTTTAACCCCGGAGGGTTAGCCACCCAGGATAACCCAAGAAAGTCAGTGCGTCATCAAGGACTAACTTATTTCCATTGGGGTCCTTAATCTTGTCCCCCAGGATGCGACCCACACCAGTCGACTAACACCCAGGTACCTGTAGATGAATGGTTCAAAGAACCGACATGTTAAATTAGACACATGTGCAACTCTTGGGTATCTTTATTGAGGAAACGTTTCGCCACACAGTGGCTTCATCAGTCCATACATAGGAGAAACTTGAAGAACAGGAGGAGAATGAGGTAATCAGTCCCTCAACCTTGAGTCGATGTGGTCAGTCCATCAATCTTGAATAGAATACGTCATATGAGCGGAGAAGCAGCTTATAAACTGTATGGCAGGAGAGGTGCAGCAGTCGTAGGTGGTGTCACATTTGTTCAATGTGGAAGTAAGTCGTGCCCAAGGGTTCTTCGCTTGCCTAACCCTTGGGCACAACCTACTTCCACATTGAACAAATGTGACACCACCTATGACTGCTGCACCTCTCCTGCCATACGGTTCATAAGCTGCTTCTCCGCTCATATGCCGTATTCTATTCAAGATTGATGGACTGACCACATCGACTCAAGGTTGAGGGACTGATTACCTCATTCTCCTCCTGTTCTTCAAGTTTCTCCTATGTATGGACTGATGAAGCCACTGCGTGGCGATACGTTTCCTCAATAAAGATACCCAAGAGTTGCACATGTGTCTAATTTAACACCCAGGTACCTATTTGCTGCTAGGTGAACAGGACAACAGGTGTAAGGAAACGTGTCGAAATGTTTCCACCCGCCGGGAATCGAACCCGGGCCCTCCGTGTGTGAAGCGGGAGCGTTAACCACCAGGCCACAGTGAAGATCACGGTAGCCCAAAGGAACAGACAAGTTATGTCATATTACCCCCGAGGAAATATGTGATCTGATAATCTCGGGAGAAAGAGATCTTCAGGACTATTGTGAAGATGTTGAATATATGCATGATGACCGAAACACAATTCATGCTGATGGTTCAGTGAGTGTTCGTGGCTTATTGTGCAAAAAGTAGGTACCTAAGTGTTAGTTACCTAGCAGTAATTAGGTACCTGGGTGTTAATCTAATGTGTGTGTCACATCCTGGGGGATAAGATTATAGGACCATAATGGAAATAAGACAGTCCTGGGTTACTAACCCTCTAATATCAAATAACTTCATTTTTTTTTTACAAATATATTAAACACATCAGCATTAGTTTAGGAAAATAATTAGAGTAATGAAGTAAGTTTATTTAGGTACAGGTGCACCTGACTACAATTATCAAACACGGGAACATTAAGTGTAAATAGGACAGCTCAGAAACTTAGTGAGTTGTTTTACTGTAGTCCGTGATGTCCCTGGGTTTTTGATGTCCCTGGGTTTTTGATGTCACTGGGTTTTTGATGTCCCTGGGTTTTTGATGTCCCTGGGTTTTTGATGTCACTGGGTTTTTGATGTCCCTGGGTGTTTGATGTCCCTGGGTTTTTGATGTCCCTGGGTTTTTGATGTCCCTGGGTTTTTGATGTCCCTGGGTGTTTGATGTCCCTGGGTTTTTGTTGTCCCTGGGTTTTTGATGTCACTGGGTTTTTGATGTCCCTGGGTTTTTGATGTCCCTGGGTTTTTGATGTCACTGGGTTTTTGATGTCCCTGGGTTTTTGATGTCCCTGGGTTTTTGATGTCACTGGGTTTTTGATGTCACTGGGTTTTTGATGTCCCTGGGTTTTTGATGTCACTGGGTTTTTGATGTCCCTGGGTTTTTGATGTCACTGGGTTTTTGATGTCCCTGGGTTTTTGATGTCCCTGGGTTTTTGATGTCACTGGGTTTTTGATGTCCCTGGGTGTTTGATGTCCCTGGGTTTTTGTTGTCCCTGGGTTTTTGATGTCCCTGGGTTTTTGATGTCATTGGGTTTTTGATATCCCTGGGTTTTTGATGTCCCTGGGTTTTTGATGTCACTGGGTTTTTGATGTCCCTGGGTTTTTGATGTCCCTGGGTTTTTGATGTCCCTGGGTTTTTGATGTCCCTGGGTTTTTGATGTCATTGGGTTTTTGATGTCCCTGGGTTTTTGATGTCATTGGGTTTTTGATGTCCCTGGGTTTTTGATGTCACTGGGTTTTTGATGTCCCTGGGTTTTTGATGTCCCTGGGTTTTTGATGTCCCTGGGTTTTTGATGTCCCTGGGTTTTTGTTGTCCCTGGGTTTTTGATGTCACTGGGTTTTTGATGTCCCTGGGTTTTTGATGTCCCTGGGTTTTTGATGTCCCTGGGTTTTTGATGTCCCTGGGTTTTTGATGTCCCTGGGTTTTTGTTGTCCCTGGGTTTTTGATGTCACTGGGTTTTTGATGTCCCTGGGTTTTTGATGTCCCTGGGTTTTTGATGTTACTGGGTTTTTGATGTCACTGGGTTTTTGATGTCCCTGGGTTTTTGATGTCACTGGGTTTTTGTTGTCCCTGGGTTTTTGATGTCACTGGGTTTTTGATGTCCCTGTTTTTTTTGTCACTGGGTTTTTGATGTCCCTGGCTTTTTGATGTCCCTGGGTTTTTGATGTCACTGGGTTTTTGATGTCCCTGGGTTTTTGATGTCCCCTGGGTTTTTGATGTCCCTGGGTTTTTGATGTCCCTGGGTTTTTGATGTCACTGAGTTTTTGTTGTCCCTGGGTTTTTGATGTCCTTGGGTTTTTGATGTCACTGGGTTTTTGATGTCATTGGGTTTTTGATGTCCCTGGGTTTTTGATGTCCCTGGGTTTTTGATGTCACTGGGTTTTTGATGTCCCTGGGTTTTTGATGTCCCTGGGTTTTTGATGTCCCTGGGTTTTTGATGTCCCTGGGTTTTTGATGTCATTGGGTTTTTGATGTCCCTGGGTTTTTGATGTCATTGGGTTTTTGATGTCCCTGGGTTTTTGATGTCACTGGGTTTTTGATGTCCCTGGGTTTTTGATGTCCCTGGGTTTTGATGTCCCTGGGTTTTTGATGTCCCTGGGTTTTTGTTGTCCCTGGGTTTTTGATGTCACTGGGTTTTTGATGTCCCTGGGTTTTTGATGTCCCTGGGTTTTGATGTCCCTGGGTTTTTGATGTCCCTGGGTTTTTGATGTCCCTGGGTTTTTGTTGTCCCTGGGTTTTTGATGTCACTGGGTTTTTGATGTCCCTGGGTTTTTGATGTCCCTGGGTTTTTGATGTTACTGGGTTTTTGATGTCACTGGGTTTTTGATGTCCCTGGGTTTTTGATGTCACTGGGTTTTTGTTGTCCTGGGTTTTTGATGTCACTGGGTTTTTGATGTCCCTGTTTTTTTTGTCACTGGGTTTTTGATGTCCCTGGCTTTTTGATGTCCCTGGGTTTTTGATGTCACTGGGTTTTTGATGTCCCTGGGTTTTTGATGTCCCCTGGGTTTTTGATGTCCCTGGGTTTTTGATGTCCCTGGGTTTTTGATGTCACTGAGTTTTTGTTGTCCCTGGGTTTTTGATGTCCTTGGGTTTTTGATGTCACTGGGTTTTTGATGTCCCTGGGTTTTTGATGTCACTGAGTTTTTGTTGTCCCTGGGTTTTTGATGTCACTGGGTTTTTGATGTCACTGGGTTTTTGATGTCACTGGGTTTTTGATGTCACTGGGTTTTTGATGTCCCTGGGTTTTTGATGTCCCTGGGTTTTTGATGTCACTGGGTTTTTGATGTCCCTGGGTTTTTGATGTCACTGGGTTTTTGATGTCCCTGGATTTTTGATGTCCCTGGGTTTTTGATGTCCCTGGATGTCATTTCCGCTGCAGTGATCGGCCTCGCTTATTACAGGACTCCATATTTAACCAATCACTAATGATATGCCACCATAAACCAATGTAATTTTAACCAATCACAAGCACAGTGACGTCAGTAGAGATCCCAATCCTGACCAATCACCAATCACATGACGTCACAAGGCGCCACAAGCCTGACCAATCACAAGTCGTAGTATTCAGCAGGTTGGTGTGTGAACGCCCAATAGAAACACAGTTCGTACATACAAATAACGCAATAATAAAGCGAAATAAATAATTTCACCCAAAGATAATGTAAATACCGTAATATAGGAGAGAATTATCGCCTAAATAAGAGTAAAATAAGGAGGTACTTATTTACCAAGTATGGGGATCTGAGGCCAAGACATAACGCCATGTTGTTTTTCCTCGACATGAAGCGGGAAGAGGCAGAAATTTGCCAAATTAATGGATAGTTTCCGCCATTCTAGTGAGGTTTGTTGCTTGAATTCGTATGTACAAAATTCTTGGAATTCCACAGATGAGAAACTGTGTGGTGTTGTGTTAATAGGAGTAATGTTGGAGGTGGAGTGAGTGGTGAGGGAGATGTTGTCAGTGTTGGAGAGAGAGTGTTGGCGTCTGGCTGCTGCCCCGCCAACTTCAAACATCACTCACACACTTCTAACTCACTCTTTTATCACCAACATCAACATAATAAACACTGTGGAGTCTGACATTACCTTCACCTACTTGTATTGTTATATTGTTGTTAGTTTTGTTAGTCAAGTTGAGGCCACACCTCTTATTACGCTCTTGTTCACTCTTATTACGCTCTTGTTCACTCTTATTACGCTCTTGTTCACTCTTATTACGCTCTTGTTCACTCTTATTACGCTCTTGTTCACTCTTATTACGCTCTTGTTCACTCTTATTACGCTCTTGTTCACTCTTATTGCTCTCTTGTTCACTCTTATTACACTCTTGTTCACTCTTATTACACTCTAGTTCACGCTTATTGTTCTCTTGTTCACTCTTATTACACTCTTGTTCACTCTTATTACACTCTTGTTCACTCTTATTACACTCTTGTTCACTCTTGTTCACTCTTATTACACTCTTGTTCACTCTTATTACATTCTTGTTCACTCTTATTACACTCTTGTTCACTCTTATTACACTCTTGTTCACTCTTATTACACTCTTGTTCACTCTTATTGCTCTTGTTCACTCTTATTGCTCTTGTTCACTCTTATTGCTCTCTTGTTCACTCTTATTGCTCTCTTATTCACTCTTACTACACTCTTGTTCACTCTTACTAAGCTCTTGTTCACTGTTACTAAGTTTTTGTTCACTCTTACTAAGCTCTTGTTTAATCTTACTATGGTCTTGCTCTTACTAAGCTCTTGTTCACATACTAAGCTTTGTTCACTCTTGCTAGGCTCTTGTTCACTCTTACTAAGCTTATTAAGCTTTTGTCCACTCTTACTAAATTCTTGCTCAATCTTACTAAGCTCTTGCTCTCTCCTATTAAGCTCCCGCTCAATACGTGCGGCCAGCAGTAACAGCCTGATCGCTCAGTCCCTGATCCACCAGGAGGCCTGGTCGTGGACTGGGCTGTGGGGGCGTTGACCCCCAGAATACCCCCCCAGGTAGACTCCTTATGCTGCTCTTCCAAACGGCTTTTTCTTAGCTGATGGACCCCTCAAGGAAGGTTCCTTGATGTTGGTGAGGGGCTCTTGATTTAAGGAATTGGATCTGTGCTCCAGTTCCCCGAATTAAGCCTGAATGCCTTCCACATATCCCCCCCCAGGCGCTGTATAATCCTCCGGGTTTAGCGCTTCCCCCTTGATTATAATAATAATAATAATAATAATCTTAGCTGATGGAATTAACCGAGAACGTTGTCACAGTACTGAGTATACTAAGACAACACAATAAATGTTGATGAAGATAGGGAAGCTGTGATTTCGTGTATAGGGCAGGGAGGAATAACATCTTGTAGGAGTGAGGAAGAGCCAGTTGTGAGTGTGGGGGAAGTTCGTGAGGCAGTAGGTAAAATGAAAGGGGGTAAGGCAGCCGGGATTGATGGGATAAAGATAGAAATGTTAAAAGCAGGGGGGATATAGTTTTGGAGTGGTTGGTGCAATTATTTAATAAATGTATGGAAGAGGGTAAGGTACCTAGGGATTGCAGAGAGCATGGCATAGTTCCTTTGTATAAAGGCAAAGGGGATAAAAGAGAGTGCAAAAATTATAGGGGGATAAGTCTGTTGAGTGTACCTGGTAAAGTGTATGGTAGAGTTATAATTGAAAGAATTAAGAGTAAGACGGAGAATAGGATAGCAGATGAACAAGGAGGCTTTAGGAAAGGTAGGGGGTGTGTGGACCAGGTGTTTACAGTGAAACATATAAGTGAACAGTATTTAGATAAGGCTAAAGAGGTCTTTGTGGCATTTATGGATTTGGAAAAGGCGTATGACAGGGTGGATAGGGGGGCAATGTGGCAGATGTTGCAGGTGTATGGTGTAGGAGGTAGGTTACTGAAAGCAGTGAAGAGTTTTTACGAGGATAGTGAGGCTCAAGTTAGAGTATGTAGGAAAGAGGGAAATTTTTTCCCAGTAAAAGTAGGCCTTAGACAAGGATGTGTGATGTCACCGTGGTTGTTTAATATATTTATAGATGGGGTTGTAAGAGAAGTAAATGCGAGGGTCTTGGCAAGAGGCGTGGAGTTAAAAGATAAAGAATCACACACAAAGTGGGAGTTGTCACAGCTGCTCTTTGCTGATGACACTGTGCTTTTGGGAGATTCTGAAGAGAAGCTGCAGAGATTGGTGGATGAATTTGGTAGGGTGTGCAAAAGAAGAAAATTAAAGGTGAATACAGGAAAGAGTAAGGTTATGAGGATAACAAAAAGATTAGGTGATGAAAGATTGAATATCAGATTGGAGGAGAGAGTATGGAGGAGGTGAACGTATTCAGATATTTGGGAGTGGACGTGTCAGCGGATGGGTCTATGAAAGATGAGGTGAATCATAGAATTGATGAGGGAAAAAGAGTGAGTGGTGCACTTAGGAGTCTGTGGAGACAAAGAACTTTGTCCTTGGAGGCAAAGAGGGGAATGTATGAGAGTATAGTTTTACCAACGCTCTTATATGGGTTGTGAAGTGTGGGTGATGAATGTTGCAGCGAGGAGAAGGCTGGAGGCAGTGGAGATGTCATGTCTGAGGGCAATGTGTGGTGTGAATATAATGCAGAGAATTCGTAGTTTGGAAGTTAGGAGGAGGTGCGGGATTACCAAAACTGTTGTCCAGAGGGCTGAGGAAGGGTTGTTGAGGTGGTTCAGACATGTAGAGAGAATGGAGCGAAACAGAATGACTTCAAGAGTGTATCAGTCTGTAGTGGAAGGAAGGCGGGGTAGGGTCGGCCTAGGAAGGGTTGGAGGGAGGGGGTAAAGGAGGTTTTGTGTGCGAGGGGCTTGGACTTCCAGCAGGCATGCGTGAGCGTGTTTGATAGGAGTGAATGGAGACAAATGGTTTTTAATACTTGACGTGCTGTTGGAGTGTGAGCAAAGTAACATTTATGAAGGGATTCAGGGAAACTGGCAGGCCGGACTTGAGTCCTGAAGATGGGAAGTACAGTGCCTGCACTCTGAAGGAGGGGTGTTAATGTTGCAGTTTAAAAACTGTAGTGTAAAGCACCCTTCTGGCAAGACAGTGATGGAGTGAATGATGGTGAAAGTTTTTCTTTTTCGGGCCACCCTGCCTTGCTGGGAATCGGCCAGTGTGATAATAAATAATAAAAAATAAGTGTCAGGGGCCCAAGACTGTTCAACTGCTTCTCAGCAGATGTAAGGGGAATTATCAGTAGACCCCCTGGCTGTCTTCAAGAGGAAACCGAACAGGCACCTAAAGTCAGTACCTGACCAGCCGGGCTGTGGTTCGTACATCGGTTTGCATGTGGCCAGCAGTAACAGCCTGGTTGATCAGGCCCTGATCCACCAGGAGTCCTGGTCATGGACCAGGTCGCAGGGGCGTTGACCCCCAAACACCCTCCAGGTAGACAGCACCTTGCTGTTCTATGCTCGTAGCTCAGCTTTATTACTCTGCTTTTTAAGATGTCTGCAAGCTTGAAAAGAACATAAGAATGGAGGAACACTGCAGAAGGCCTACTGGCCCATGCGAGGCAGGTCCTTATCAAAACGACCTCTACCTAAAGCTACCCAAGAAATAACTCCCGTACCCAATGACACCAATCAAACCCAGCCCCTCCCACTCCAGTCTCTTCTTAAAGCTACCCAGTTTAATGTGATCCTTCATTGACAATGTTTTGCCCACACAGTGGGCTTTTTCTCCTTCATCAAGGACTATGTCTATGTCTTGGTGTCTTTTGCTCATTTCCTGTTGAAGAGTTTTATGTAGAATTTAATGAAGACTGAGACACTTAAGCAACATATGGGAATCTTTTTATTGAGGAAACGTTTCGCCACACAGCAGCTTCATCAGTCCAATACAGAGTAGAAAGGTGTAGGGAGAGGAGGAATTTGAGGTAATCAGTCCCTCAGCCTGGAGTCGATGTGTTCAGTCCATCAATCTTGTAGAATTTAATGTTCATTATAAGACATTCAGGATACTGTGTATGCCGTTTGGTTGATTTTTATGACCCTACAATCTATAGATTACTCAGATGTTATTAAAGCTGACATTTGACATCATTATCATGCCTATTAAACCTTAGTTTTCAGACTAGTTCTCTTGATTTTACCTCCTTTTTCTATTCTCTCTGTTCATTTTTCCTTTGTACTACTTCATGACTCACGAAATTGCAATGACACGATCGTAATGAGACTCTCTGATTGCGGGTTCTATCCCCGCCCGTGGTATGGTTTGTTTACTTAATTTTTTCTTCTGCTCCTCTCCTTCTTTTCCGAAGTCTTGTATCACTGCTGTGGACAGTTTGTGAAAACAGGCAGATCAGAAATATTATTTATGGGATCTGTGAATTGATAACTAGATAATTCCCAAACCATTTCCTGTAATAGGTTTGTAAATCAATTAGTTTTATAGAATAAATCTTGTAGATGAATGGTTCACAGAACCAACACGTTGATAAATTAGACACATGTGCAACTCTTGGGTATCTTTATTGAGGAAACGTTTCGCCACACAGTGGCTTCATCAGTCCATACACAGGAGAAGCTTGAAGAACAGGAGGAGAATGAGGTAATCAGTCCCTCAACCTTGAGTCGATGTGGTCAGTCCATCAATCTTCTACTCAAGATTGATGGACTGACCACATCGACTCAAGGTTGAGGGACTGATTACCTCATTCTCCTCCTGTTCTTCAAGTTTCTCCTGTGTATGGACTGATGAAGCCACTGTGTGGCAAAACGTTTCCTTAATAAAGATACCCAAGAGTTGCACATGTGTCTAATTTATCAGAATAAATCTTTTTTAAAACGAAGTTCAATGGCAGTGTTGGGCTCTTGATCCAAGCGATTGCACTTGTCCTGCACTTTTTTGTACTTGATTGTCTCTCATTTCCCAGGTGCTTCATGGCCTCTGTGGGTGTAGTTCTTCTTCCAAAAATAAAAATAATACAGTAGGACCCCTGTATCAGCAGAGTCAGTATTCGCTGTTTCAGTTATCCATTGTTTATCGTTGCCCCAAAATAACCCTTGTAAAGTAAAAGGACACAAGTGCAACTAATGTGACATTTATTGTGGCAACGTTTCGCTCTCCAGGAGCTTTGTCAAGCCATTACCTAATGGCTTGATAAAGCTCCTGGAGAGCGAAACGTTGCCACAATAAATGTCACATTAGTTGCACTTGTGTCCTTTTACTTTACATATTGTCGGTAATTCTACCAACTTTATTACAAAATAACCCTTGATTTTACTTAACCCTTAAACTGTCCAAACAGATTTACGTGCATATGCGTAGTGCTCCAAAAGTAGATCTACGGTTTTTTACATATTTTCAAATATAACAAAAAAAAAAAGTAAATCAAGTTTTTTTTTTACACGTTTTCAACTGTAAAAAAAAAAAAAAGATTAAATTTTTTTACATACTTTCAAATGCTGAAATAATGTAGATCTACGTTTGGACAGTTTAAGGATTAATAACAGCCCCTAAGTGCAAAAGTAGTGATGGCGGCAGTTCTTCAAAGCCTAAGAGAAGCCCTGAAATGCTTCCCATCAGTGAAAAAGTGCTAATTCTAGACTAATTTTACATAAAAAAACCCATACCATGGGCGGGATTTGAACCCGCGGTCAGAGAGTCTCAAAACTCCCGCCGTGGTATGGTTTGTTTGCAATCGTGTCATTACAATTTCGTGAGTCATAATTTTGCATAATTTATTAATTAAACTTTATCATAGGTATGTATGTAAACCAAAAATGACATATATAGGATTCGCTACTATTCACATTTTCAGCTATCCATGATATGGTGGTATGGTTTGTTTGCAATCGTGTCGTTACGATTTCGTGAGTCATGATACGTCTTGGAATGCATCTTTCTCAGATATGGGGGGATTACTGTATAGATTAATTGAGGGAGCTGCCTTGATACAGCGATAGGCTTTTGATCAAAGGAATTGGATCCATTCTCCACAACTATTCACCTGGCAGGTACTCCTGGCTTGGTTGATTGCATTCTCAATTCACACTCGGGGGTTTGGGGAATGATCGAGCACAGGTGAAATGTTACACTTGATGCCATGTGTTCACCTAGCAGTGGGTAGGAACCTGGGTGTAGATGACTGTTGTGGGTCGCATCCTAGGGGATAAGATTAATCTAAGTTGCCTGAAATGTCTTGTATAACCAGGGGCTGTCTGTATATGCCAGTAATGTCAGCTTGGTCTAATAGTTGCATCATGTACGTGTAAGCCTTCGACTTTCACCACGGTCTTGTACTCAACTCATCTGATACCAGCAGTGGCTGTATATCCTGAAATCTGGCTCTAATTAATATAACCTTCATAAAAAAGTGTACCAAGAAAAAGTGTTGGTCTTTGGTAAATTGGCTTAAAATATTTTTCAAACACATACATGGCTAGGTTTTCGTTTTCAATTTTCAGTCTTAAAAACTTATCATTAGGAAAATATTCTGTATTTTTACGAAGATAATCTTTTCATTTACTGACACTAGTTATGAAATTTGGTTAATATTGTGGTCTAATAATCTCCATATTTTTCAGGTTGGTCGTGCCTCATCTATCGTGTCAGGAAACTTAGGAAGAAATGTGGAGGGTGCAATAGAATCACCAGTCCTTCTCCATGGCCAAGTGGTTATGTCAACTGCTAAAGGAGTCATGGAGGAGGATTCACAAATGATTATAGATGGTTCACAAGGGGTGGTGATGGAAGGCACCCAGATGGTTATGGCAGGCTCACCAGTAGTGATGAAAGCAGAGATGCAAGATTCCCCAACAGTTATGATGGAGGAGCCAGGGGTTATGATGGAAGACACAGACACTACAGGATTTGATGATTCTGTTTTGCAAAACCCTTCTTGTCATGATCGTGGGGTGAACAATTCTGTTATTATTAAAGAAGAAGATTTACAGGACAGTCAGTATGGCCACAATCGGCAAATATTGGGACTAGCTGATGATGAAGCAACACAAAGGGATGAGATCAGTTCTGTCATTAGGAATAGCAGTGAGCTTGAGACAAACCAAGAAGGTGAAATGCTACTTCGAAACTTAGTGAATGAAACTTTCCACTCTTCTCCAAATATGACTCATGGTAACGATAATATTATTGTTACCACCAGCACAATCACCACCAATGCTGTTGAGGGTATGCAGCATGCCTTAACATCCCCTAATGTAGTACAAGGGGCAGTAATGAATAACATCTCAGTACTGCCTGCCAGTATATCATCAACCAACACTCCGACCAGAATAGTGGTACAAACAAATCAAGTTTCTCCTGTCAAAGCTAATGCTGGACACTTCCTCATACAAGTGGGGGGCACTCCAGTTAGTGTAGCCCACCCACAAATGTTAACAGTAGGAAATAAGAACCATATTGTTATCCGAGCGGGAGCCAATCAATCTGGTCAGACTCCCATTGGCCAAGAGGAAATTGATGGCTCAGGGCAAGGTAGTATCTTCAAAGTTATAATACCTGAAGGCACTACCAAATACACAAAAGCAACTTCAGTACCCATAAGTCAAAATGAACCCGTGAGGAAGCATGTCCAAATCAACCTTTCAGATGGATCTGCGAAGAAACAAGTGAGATACGTCTCCAACACATCCCAGACACAGGAGGTGTATGAGGAAGAAACCCTCAGAGCGTGTGATAAAATTGAAAACAAGAGACTCTATACATGTCAAACATGTAACAGTAAATTTATGAGACCATTGTACTTAAGGTATGTTTCCCTGAGGTATATTGGCAATTTTTGTCGCTTCATCCCTTGTGCTGCAACCCATTTATTTCTCCACATACCCATATCTCTATCTTCTTTCAGTCTGAAGTCCTAGACAACATAACAATGGCCTTCCCAACAGAGGTCGCTAGCAGTACTACCCTGCTCCCAGAGAGATGTACCCCAGCCCCTGCATACATATTATGTTTACCATGGAAATTGTCCCAGTTGTCTAGGAATGGGATTGCAAGTTCTTAGAAGTACCTGTCTAGCCAGTATTTTACATCAGCTGTCTTAGACATCCATTTATTGCCCGCTCCTGTTCTTAACTAGCATCTTCTGTCTCCTGCCCTTCCCAGTATTGTTTCCACCAGCACTGAGGCAGATAAAGGGCTTGTTCCTCTTACCTGACATATCAAACCTGTTGACTATGTCACCAACAGCAGCTCCAGGGAAACAACCATCTACCTTACCTTCATATATCTGTTACAGAAGGCACAGTCCATATATTTTACCTGAGAGTTACTGACCACAAGGATATTCTTACCTTTATTAGCAGAGGAGTTAGTGGTACCTTTATTCTCACTAACCATTGAAGTACATTTGTCCTGGAGAACAGAAAAGCGATTTTCTATCTTCAAACATGCTCTTTCAACTTTCCTCATTTTCATGTTTCTTCCTTTACTGGAAACTACTTCCAGTTTGTTATGGCTGCCAACCTGCTCTTCACTGCTGGTAACCCGTTTCCCTTTACTAACCTCAATCACATGATACCTTCCTCCTTGAGAAGGAGGAAGGTATTCTTTCCTTCCTGAAATAATTTTCCTTCTTTTCTAGGCAAGTATTGTACCCCTTCACCATATAAAAGTGGGGGAACGGGTTAATAATGATTGTAGTCTTTATTCTTTGCTATGAATCCAATCAATACCATAACAATCTCTAGGTGCCTCTCAGTTGAAAACAGCAATGTCAGTGTTTGTTACTATTTGCTAGTTATTCTGTTTATTAGCATTTTTTACTTTGTTTTAGTGATTGCAGGTTCTGTAGCTTCTGCTATTGGGGAATTGATTTGAAAATAGTATCCTTTTTCTTCTTTCAACAAACTGGTCGTATCCCACCAAGGCAGGGTGGCCCAAAAAGAAAAATGAAAGTTTCTCTTTTTAAATTTAGTAATTTATACAGAAGGGGTTACTAGCCCCTTGCTCCCGGCATGTTAGTCGCCTCTTAGAACACACATGGCTTACGGAGGAAGAATTCTGTTTTACTTCCCCATGGAGATAAGAGGAAATAAACAAGAACAAGAACTAGTAAGAAAATAGAAGAAAACCCAGAGGGGTGTGTATATATATGTTTGTACATGTATGTGTAGTGTGACCTAAGTGTAAGTAGGAGTAGCAAGACGTACCTGAAACCTTGCATGTTCATAAGACAGAAAAAAGGACACCAGCAATCCTACCATCATGTAAAACAATTACAGGCTTTCTTTTATACTCACTTGGCAGGACTGTAGTACCTCCCTGGGCGGTTGCTGTCTACCAGCCTACTACCTATAGAATAGTATCTTCTTCTTTCAACAAACCGGCCGTATCCCACCGAGGCGGGGTGGCCCAAAAAGAAAAACAAAAGTTTCTCTTTTCAAATTTAGTAATTTATACAAGAGAAGGGATTACTAGCCCCTTGCTCCCGGCATTTTAGCTGCCTCTTACAACACACATGGCTTCGGAGGAAGAATTCTGTTCCACTTACGCATGGAGAGAATAGTATCTATGGTGATGAATTTTCCAGGGAATATAGTTTGTGATAATTTCTTTCTTTCTTTGAACACACCGGCCGTATCCCACCGAGGCGGGGTGGCCCAAGAGGAAAAACAAAAGTTTCTCCTTTTACATTTAGTAATATATACAGGAGAAGAGGTTGCTAGCCCCTTGCTCCCGGCATTTTAGTCGCCAATATGACACGCATGGCTTACGGAGGAAGAATTCTGTTCCACTTCCCCATGGAGAGAATAGTATCTATGGTGATGAATTTTCCAGGGAATATAGTTTGTGATAATTTATTCAGGCTATTTAGATTTTGCGATATTATTTTACTTTGTAATTTGTTTTTCTTTCAGAAAGCACATGAGAAGCTGTAAGAAGGAGGAAGTAAAGGTAGAAAAATCACCTCTTTACATGTGTTCATTCTGCAAGATGACATTTAAGACTCGACCTCAGATCTCTCAGCATTTTCTGAAATGCTATCATAGTCCATACCGCAAAAAAACAGCACTTAAGGTTGGTACTGTGTGCCAGTATTTAAAAACGTATCTTATTCAATGTTTGGCAAAATATACCTCTCCAGTATAAATTTACTTATTAAACAGTCCATGTGAACAATGTAATTTGAATTTGTAACCAATTTTTTTTAACACGCTGTCTCCCACCAAGGCAGGGTAACCTAAAAAGAAATGCCAGTGGTGCAGAGATGCTACAGTTCAGAGCCCCTCCAAACTGCAACATCTCCACCCCTCCTTTCAGAGTGCAGGCATTGTACTTCCCTCCTCCAGGAATCATGTTTCCCTGAATCCCTTCACAAAATGTTATCTAGCTCACACTGGAACAGCTCATCTAGTACTAAAATCATTTGCCTCTGCTACCATCTAACACGCTCGTGCATCCCTGCTGGATGTCTAAGGTAGAGGTGATTGAAGGAGAGGTTGGAGGGAGTGGGTAAAGGTTATGTTTGTGATGGACATGGGTATCCTGGAGATGGGAAGTACAGTGCCTGCACTCTGAAGGAGGGGTGTTAATGTTGCAGTTTAAAAACTGTAGTGTAAAGCACCCTTCTGGCAAGACAGTGATGGAGTGAATGATGGTGAAAGTTTTTCTTTTTCGGACCACCCTGCCTTGGTGGGAATCGGCCAATGTGATAATAATAATAATAATAATGGATATCCACCGGCATGTGTGTGTGTTTGTACTAGAAAGGAATGAGTCAGGCAAGTGGTTTTTATGACTTGATATGCTATTAGGGTGTGAGGAAGGTAACATGAAGAGATTCAGTAAAACCAGTTAGCCAGACTTGAGTCCTGGAGGTGGAAGGTACAGTGTCTTCACTATGAATGAGGGGTTGGGATATTGCAGTTTGAAGGGGCATCTGAACTGTAACGTTGGCATGCCTTTGGCAAAACTGTGATGGAGTTAGTGAGGGTGAAAGTGTTTTCTTTTTCAGGTAACCCTATCTTGGTGGGAGATGGCCGGTGTGTTAAAAATAATGCATAGATTATATTTAGAAACCATCTGTAGTTAATGTGAATAGATGCATGTAAGGATAAGAGAAATGAGAGTAGTTGAGCCATTGTGTTACAATGTTCATGCACTGGAAGATTTGGGCATTGATCATGGATGCCTATAAAGCACTTGTAAAGCCTTAGGATTATCACAGTTGTAAGACTTTGTTTTTTCAGAGAAAGGGAGATGAGGTCGAACCAGAGACTACACCTCCCAAGAGAGGGAAGATTGAGACACTTGAGATTGACCCAGCGCTTGAACAAGCTGTGCAGTTTAGATGTCAGGTGAGTTATTTATTTACCCATTTGTTTTAAAATAGCCACTGAGCAAATCATGGTCACCCACAGTGAAGAAAGCAAATGATGTATTGAAAAGAAAAAATAATTTGGTTAATTCTAACATTGTATGCAGGATTAAAATAACACGAATGAGCAAGATGGCAAATGGGTGATGGGATTTAACACAATATGAGGAAAAAAAAGCAGGGCACTTGGAGGATATTGATTATATAATGCACTGTTAAAGGTACGAGTCAGGAACTTGAGGGATTGTAAACAAAACATTGTCACAAAATCATATACATATAGTAGTGAAGAACAGCCTTCAGATATGTGAATAATAAGTTATTATAAAATTTTGTAATTGGTCAACAATGTAAAAAGTTAATAATACCTTGAGATAACATACTTTAAGAATTTTTCCAAAACTATTGATGGTTGCATCTACAAGATTCCTTGTGTAATATGCAATTAATTTGATTTGGGACAGAGTGAAAAAAGATTAAAAGATTTTATTGAAAACATGTAGGCTGTTTTTACATGCAATAAATAGGCAATTTTTATCTTGTTTCCTTCTAGATAATTATTAATTTTCTAGTGGTGTTTATTTCTTTTATATAGACTCATTGTTTATAGGACTGTGATCGTACCTTCAGCAAGGAGCGCCAGTATAGCAGCCATATTAAAAAGTGCACCAAAGTCTCCGTGCATGATCTCTCTGGAGCAAGAGTGGAGGTGAAAGGTGAAGAGGAGGAGGAGGAGGAACCAGACTCTCAGGAAGATCCATTTGCTGACCCAGATCCTCAACCACCTCAGTCTAAAAGACGCCGTGGTCCTGGGAGGAGAGGGCGGCCTCCTGGGAGAGGTGGTCATAGTTCCTCTAGAACAACAGCTAGAAATTCTTCACAACTTTTTGAGGGAGGTTAGTTCATGATAGTTTTGCATTGTTTTATGTAGAAAAAGAATCTATTTGAATACTGTATACAGTGGACCCCGCATAACGATTACCTCCGAATGCGACCAATTATGTAAGTGTATTTATGTAAGTGCGTTTGTACGTGTATGTTTGGGGGTCTGAAATGGACTAATCTACTTCACAATATTCCTTATGGGAACAAATTCGGTCAGTACTGGCACCTGAACATACTTCTGGAGTGAAAAAATATCGTTAACCAGGGGTCCACTGTATATGTACTGGAGGTGGAAAGTACAGTGCCTGCACTTTAAAGGAGTTTGTGATATTTGCTGTTTAGAGGAACATTTGAATTGTATTTTCCCTGCCTCTGGAAAGATGGTGATAGTATGAATGATGGTGCGTGTTTCTTTTTTCGGTCACCCTGTCTCAGTGGGAGACTGTGAGCATGTTAAAAAAAAAAATGTATCTTTTCACAGTTGCCAGTGAAAAAACTTTGTTTTCCCTCAGCTAAGGACGGCTGCAGGAACGGGAAACACTCGAATCCCATTGGGGTTAAAGTGAATAATTTTCTTAGTACAGTGGACCCCCGGCTTGCGATATTATTTCATTCCAGAAGTATGTTCAGGTGCCATTACTGAACGAATTTGTTCCCATAAGGAATATTGTGAATTAGATTAGTCCATTTCAGACCCCCAAAGATACACGTACAAACGCACTTACATAAATACACTTACATAATTGGTCGCATTGGGAGCTGATCGTAAAGCGGGGGTTCTCTGTATTGCTCTTTCAGTGAATAAAAGCCATGTATTCATTACCTGGAAAGTAGTCTAATAAAGGTTAAAATTTATTAAGTAACATCACGTAATTGCAATCCCTGTTTAAATTTTTAGTCAAAATTTAACAGTTTTCAGCAACCTGACTTGAGATGAGCAGGCACTTTCTGCTTCTATGACAAACACAAATGATACTCAGGGCTACATCTTAGGGTGTGGGTTTGAATAGTAAGACTAAATTAAAGAAAGTAACCTTTCTTCAGAAAATAACCAGTTAAGAGGTCAGCATCCATTATACATCCCTCAAAAGTTTAGATTTTTTCCAAAAAATTTTAGTGGTCTGTTTTTGCTTTGTATGGAGGGTTCAGCAAGTTATTATTTTAACCTCAGATATTTTGCTTCACTAATGTGTAACATTGAAATTTCAGCATTTCCTGTAGCCAACTCCCGTGGCCTTTTGGTGGCTGATAATGAAGGTTTAGTTCGGAGCACAACAGGTTTGGCTCACACTGTACAACTTAGCCTGGAGACAGCAAGTCAAGAAGGACAACCTCAGCCAACTGCTCTGGTAGCAGATTCTAAGGTAGCTGTTTTGGTATCTAATTTGCTGTTAGTGTGTTGTTTATGACTTTACTCTCATTCACATTGAAGTCATTTCTTTATCAGTTACTTACACAGAATTAAAAAGTAATTTTGTAAAACAAACTTAGTCTTACTAATGCTATTTACTTTGACTTTTTTGCTTTGCACAGGGCGTTCGAGGGCGGGAGAAGCCCCCACAGGCTTGGTCACTAGTTTGTGCCCTCTGTCAAAAGATGTTTATTACCAAAGCTGCTCTTGCACACCATGTTATGTCAGAACATGGCGCAGATCTAATACATACTCGGAATATTCTTGATGGCAAGATCAAGGATGACCAGCCTCTCTTTAGGTTAGTAGTCACTTTAATTTTCTGCACTTTGTATTTTTTTCACTATATACTGGGAGCCCAGTCCATGTTTCTTTTTTTACTTCTATTATTCTTATATGGGAAAACCTCTTTCTTTAATGCATTTTTATATCTCATAATGTAGAATTGTTTTTGCCAAGTGTTCAGGTTATACTTTAGATGTAGGTTCAAACTTGTAATACAGTGGACCCCCGGTTAACGATATTTTTTCACTCCAGAAGTATGTTCAGGTGTCAGTACTGACCGAATTTGTTCCCATAAGGAATATTGTGAAGTAGATTAGTCCATTTCAGACCCCCAAACATACACTTACAAACGCACTTACATAAATACGCTTACATAATTGGTCGCATTCGGAGGTGATCGTTATGCGGGGGTCCACTGTAATGTTGGTAGAATTACCGACTATGTAAAGTAAAAGGACACAAGTGCAACTAATGTGACATTTTATTGTGGTAACGTTTCGCTCTCCAGGTATCGGCTTGACAAAGCTCCTGGAGAGCGAAACGTTGCCACAATAAAATGTCACATTAGTTGCACTTGTGTCCTTTTACTTTACATGTTCAAACTTAAAGGCTTTTAGAAGTGCACTTATATGGCTTCCTCTTCCTGGAAGAAAATTTACCACAGAGTGAAACACCGATAACATGAATAGATTTATTTCATCGGGAAATTAGAATATATAACCAAAGCATTCTTGGTATTACAAGTTTTTTTTTTTTTAACACATTGACCATTTCCCACCAAGGCAGGGTTGCCAGGGAGAGAAGAAACACTTTCATCATCATTCACTCCATCACTGTCTTGCTAGAGGCACTCCCACACAATGGTTATAAAACTGTAACTTATCAACACCAGCTTGCCAGTTTCCCCTGAATCCCTTCATAAATGTTACCCTGTTCACACTCCAACAGCACGTCAAGTCATATAAACCATTCCTCCAACCTTCCTTGCACAACAGATTTATATGCTGTCTATGTCATTCTATTTTGTTCCACCCTCTTTAAATGTCTGAACCACCTCAACATCCCCTCCTCAGCCCTCTGGATAATACTTTTAGTAACCCCGCACCTCCTCCTCATTTCCAAATTACGGATTCTCTTTATTATATTCACACCACACATTGCCCTCAGGCATGACATCTCCACTTCCTCCAGCCTTCTTCTTGTTGCAACATTCACCACCCAGACTTCACACCTACATAAGAGCATTGGTACAACTATACTCTCATACATTTCCCTCTTTGCTTCCATGGATAATGATTTTTGTCTCCACAGACTCCTCAGTGCACCACTCACCTTTTTCCCATCATCAGTTCT